TGATCAATATCTAACCCTCTGTATTTCTTAATAGTCATTCAAATTTTGAAAATAATATTTCTATGTTTGGAAAAATTACGATAAACGTAATTTATTTTTACTAAAATATAAAATATATATATTACAATTATGTATTTTAGATTCTGAGAGGAACGAGGAATGTATTGGTTTTATAATTATGTTTATTTCTTTTTTTTTTATTATTCTGTAAACACTTTTTATCTTTCTAAACTTGCCAAAATCATCAAGTGTAGCATCTTTTCTGAAAGTTAATGTTCTTGAGCTAGTACTTTAAAGAGGTAATTTTTCGATTTTCGAAACGCTACTCGAAATATAAAAGCGGTTAAAAGAGAAAATACGTATGATTTCACGATTTCGCGATTTTATAATATTAAATAAATTACGGACGAMGTTTTCTACCAGAAATATTGTTTCAAATGAAAAATAACATGATATCTTTTTTGTTGTATTTTGTTCTTTATGGTTTAAAGTTCGGAAAATTGTCCGGAAAAAAATCCAATGTGCCCATCATGCGGTGTCCAAGTCACCATCAGCCACATCCTCACCGAATGCCGAACATTTTACCACAATATCCGAACAAGACATAACCGTACCGTCGTACTTTGTTGCCGAGGGTATATGTACAATTGAAAAAATATATATACCTATTATTTATTATTATCAATGTTTTATTTTTAAGTTTTTTTAACCTTCGATAATAGACTTTTTATAGATTCAAAACAGTATTCTTGGAAATAATAAATCAATAGGTAGAAATCAAATTTGGCGGCGAATCAACTGTACTCGCGGATAATTTATTTTATTTAATAAATAATAACTAGGTACTTAGGTATTATTTATATTTTATTGTAGGTAGTGGTTGTACCTATATATTATAATACCTGTATAGGTGTATATTATGCGTACCTATGTATTATAGTAGGTAAATCATACAGYTTGCGGTTTATAACTTACTTACTTATCAATCTTTTTAACATGGTTTATAAATTTAAAATATTTAATGCTAATTAATAACCATTTAATACTTGATATTTGACATTTGCAAAAAAGTATTCTGCTTCAGCATTTAGAATATAAAACAAAAATTCAAGTTAAAAATCAGGATTAGGTTAGGTATAGGTAGTTGCCTACATAATATCTATCTCGCAGTTATGCAGTTATTATTTACACACCAAATTACTAGCGTAGAAAATTGTAATAGGTATTGTTGTATTCTAGTAGGATTGTTACATTAATTCTGTAATTCTATAATATTTAAAATTGTATAATTTTATGATAAGCTAATAATCACTAATCCAAATACAATTGATTTAACTATTATTACTGAAAATGTACCTATATAATATAGTGTTGTTATAAGAACTACTGTCTCCACGGCAAGCTGYATAGCTTACGGATGATATTATTTATGTTTTAATGTAATATTTTTAAGAAGTATAGATATTTGTATTAATTTATACATATCATATGTATGTCATTCAATTTTTAAATGAAAAATAAATAAATAATAATGATAAAATACCTATTGTCAGTTAATTTACTATTTGTTTGCATGTTGTAGATTGAAAACGCAGTTGCGCTTGAGAGTGGGCCAAGAACGTAGTCGATAGTTGTACAGGTACCTATACTTATATGTTATAATATGTCATGTCGATGATTACTAATTATCGTTACTCGCTCGTGAATATRTCCTATCCATTCATCATTTAGAGTATTTTACAGCCATACAGGCATAAATATGGACAGCGGCCGCATCAGCTGCGTTCACTTCATTGAATAACAGCGGTGTTAAGCGTGCTTACCGCCTTGAATTTCAACACTAGCGCACCCTGAATTTCGAGATTATTATTTTTTAAATAATAATTAAAAATCATGAACACGCGGTTGGAACAAGATAGACTTTTAAAAATATTGACACATCAATTATCCACATAGAAATAGGAGATATGGATATAGGCAGTCCTTAATAAAATAATAAAACATGTCCTCTGTAATTATGTATTTCTAATTTAATTAAACTAAATAAGTGAAACTTCCATATTAAAATGAATTCCCAAGTAACGTTATATTTAACAAAATACTTTTAAGAACCTAATGATAGACGGTATTTTATTTTATTTTACAATTTTTTTTTTTTTTGTTTTGTTTCCCATTATGCCATCAGACTTTATACTATGGAACTATCAGTCTATCACTGTAAATAATTTTGTGCAACTCAAAAAAATATAATTTGATTCGTATACATTTTTATAATTTTGAGTGTGAGATTAACGCAATGAAAAACCTTAAAAGACGCATTTTAAATCTCAGTAATACACTATTTGTCTATACATAATATTACATAAATCCGAAAAATTGAATTCAAAATAAAAACACATAGTTAYYTACATATCTATGTTTCTGTGTTAAGAAAAAAAATTTAAATTAAATTATTTTTAATTATTTATAAAAATGAACTAAACAAAAATTCAAAAATATGAGTAAAAGGTTCTAATAAATAAGATTTTTAAATTAATCTAAAAAGTAATAAAGGATGAAAAATTAACCAAATAATGCTAAAAAAAGGTATAAAATTAAAAAATCTTAAAATGCCAAAAAAAATTCTAAATTGAGTTTGTTCCTAATTCAAACTTTTTGTTATACCTACCTATTTACAATAATAGCTTAAAAAAATGAATTTTTCTACAAATTCACATCCTTATGCAATATTGATTTAAATTTTAAATTTATTGTATTTTGTCGATACAAATATCAAATGTAACGGGTATAAGGAAGAGTATMGTCTCAGTAGCCCGTCATCACGGCTTTGCTTCCTTTAGAAGTTCTTGGGCCCCCTAATATTTTTGAGCGATTTGCGTCTATATGTATACCACAGTTGCATCTGCATTTGTTTGRCTGTAAGTCTGTAAACCCTACGATCGACTGCACTAACCTAACCTTTGACAAATCCATTACAATTGTACCCCATTATCGTTTTATAGTATCACCATTATTCATTAACCAATAGTGTATAATAGTATATTCGACATTAGGTAGAGACGAAAGTTATAATATATGTGATGATAGTGTATGTAAGAAGTGGCGAATTCACGACACGCGTGCCATAAGTGCCACGTTGGTCAAATTCTAATGGGGCGCGAAATAAAAATTAGAATTGAAAAAAATTACGCTATTCTCTAAATTTTGCTTGTAAAAATTCAAAAAATTGTAAAAATTTTAAAAGTTATACTATCCTTATAATCCTATATGTAAAATTGATTAGATATGTAACTATATTATCACTAATCACTATATTTATTACCTATTTAATTATTTTCTATTTAGTGTTTACAAACTTTGAGCACGTGAAAAATTATCAAACCCTTGATTGCCAAAATTTGGCACCAGACCCAAAAAAGGTTCGCCACTGCTGGTCTATGGATCTATCACGCCATTATAGGTGAGTGACCGAGTGCAAGTATGGCCAGAGGTGCTAAGGGGTGGTGGGGGGGGTATGGCCACTCCTCATTGACTTGTTTATGTTAGCCAATAATACAACACATTATATTGAAAAAAATATTTTACAAAAACCCTAAACAACCAACCCTCATACAAAATTCCTGGTAACGTCACAGCCCACAGGCCGAGCGRGTAGCCGGTATCCAGAATATTTTCTGCAGGTCAGTCCATTCAGCCTCTTGGGAAAATGTTTGAATCGCAGAATATCCATCAGTTCTCGATAAAATTGTTCCGCAAGGGTGCAATGATGTGATAGTGGTATTCTGCAAGCTTAAAATACGATGATGATATCCTGGCGAAACAAGTCTAGAAGACATCCTAGTTTAAACGCATATGGACATGGTCAAAGTGTCCAACAAACACTCGTTTTCTGCGGATTACTTGCCGGAGACGTCAAATCACTCTTGAGGTAGGTACCGAATTAAGACCACACATATTATTATACCTATATCTAGATGATGCAGTCCGGCTTAAACTCGAAAGTGCTGTAAACAAATTTTTATATAGTCCCTAAAAATATAATTAAGACATAGGTAGGTAGTTAAAATTTAAAGACTTGTTCTACAAGCCTTTCCAACCGTTATTTAGAATTCATTGTATTGTGTTTGCTTAATAATACGACGTGTAATAAATTATTACCACGGTATCTAATGT